TGCTCGGGGGAGGCCTAGTAGGAAAAAAAAAGTCATTATAGATATTTTTAGGTTATTAAATATGAAATGTTGAAATTAAAATAAAGATTGTAGTTTATTATATTTCAAATAATAAGCAGTACTACAATATAAAGTATGTGCCTAAACTATCAACACAGTGTTGCAGTCTCACCGGTAGCTTGTTTCATGGAGAACTAGAGACGTTGGGTGTGTGAGTGGATGTGAGTGAGAGAAACAGCGGGTGTGTTTCAGGCAGTTTCTGCCCAGGATGTGTCTGTGTTTGCAGGTGTCCAGTGTGAGGGGCAGCTGGTGGAGTCTGGGGGAGGCCTGGTCCAGCCTGGGGGTTCACTGAGACTCTCCTGCACAGCCTCTGGATTCACCTTCAGTGACTACTATATTAACTGGGTACACCAGGCTCCAGGGAAGGGGCTGGAGTGGGTTGGTTTTATTAGAAAAAAGGCTAATGTCGGCACAGCAGAATCTGCTTTATCTGAGAAAGGCAGATTCACCATCTCATGAGATGATTCCAAAAGCACTGCCTGTCTGCTAATGAACAGGTACGTGAGATCAGAAGGGAAGGGTGTTCCCTGAGACCTGCGCCCTGAGGCTGGTGCAGACACACTCTCTGGAGGAAAGTCATTTGCAGAGTGTTAGCAGGCAGGGGAACTGTGCCTCTTCCAGGACCCTCCTTTCGCCCTGTATCTCCTATGAGAGGAAATAATAAAAAATTTTGAGGACTAAGGGCCATAGTCCAGTTCACCATTCCCATGGAAGGGAGTAGAGCACAGGTGCAAATGACCTCTATTACTGGGGGCTCCTGGTGATGGTCACAGCCCAGGGGAAGAGGATGACTGAGTCAGTGAGACGTAGTCATAACAATATCCATCTTCCCCCTCCTCAAACTTCTTCACCCCAGCAGCATGATGAGAGTGGGTGAATGTTCAGTATGTGATGACAGAGTCTATCTGAACAGGAGAACCTTGGGAAGCCCAGACACACAGGGGGACAAAACTCAGGTCACTAGAGGAACCTGGACCCTCTGACAGCTACATGTTCAGCAACCCTCTATCACCATCCTCGGACTCACTTCTTTCTCATCCTTTGTGGTATTTGAAAAGTTTCTCTTCTCCTCATGGTAATATTCAACATATCCTTGTAAATCCCTTGGGTTCATCCAGCATCAGAACCAGGGACACT